AAATGCCGGTTGGTTCACACTTGGTATAAGTCAGAAATTAAATCCCAATATGAATATTATCCAGGAGTAATATACATCAATGGATTCATTATGGCTTTGACTACCTTTAAATAGCAAAATTTGCAAAAATTAATGCTGATTGAATTATAAAATACCTAAAAAACACAAGCAGTTCTTGATCTCTCCATAAACCGCCGTGTTACAAAATGCCGTTGGGTTCACAAATGGTTCACACTTTTCGGAGCACACGCGGCTCGGAAACGCCTGTTCATGGATTGGCTTCATCGGCGCTCCAGTACTTTGCGACTCTATTGTACTCTATGAGTTTGATGGATTGTTGTTATTAGAGAGTATAGAAGGTTAGAGGCCCGACTCAATGCTAGGTAATTGAAACAGAAGCGCTCGCAGCGCGCTCGCTGGCAACGTACGCAACTACTATTTTCTATTGTTTTCCAGTGACTAGCGGCTGGTATGTTGCTGCCGGACCACCTCCACGTAGGCAATTTTTTATACACCGTCCGTCCACAACTCTCGCGTGGCCAATCAGCGCAGTGGTATGGGATTCCGCTCGCCGCGCACTCTCGCGCCAACGTACGCAACTGCTTGCTCACGGCTCCAACTTCTGTTTCAATTGGACCGCGTTTAACAGAAAGGAACCAAGCCACATCAGCTATTGCCAAATTTAACCGGGCAATTTAATTTTTTACGAGAGAAAGTCTGTGTGGATTCCTTCGAAAATTTTAAGGAATTAGCTTCGGACTATGGAGAAAATTTACCGAAATTTGCACGAAAATCTGAACAACCGTTTTCATGTTAAAAATTAAATTGCCGAATTAAAGTTGACAACAGCTGATGTGGCTTGGTTCCTTTCTGTTTATCGCGATCCAATTCTTCCTTATCCAGTCGGGCCTCTAACCTTAGATGCGTTGTTAAAGTCCACAACTGCCCAACGAAAATTACCCGCTGAGCGTTGAGCTCAACGAAAGCGTTGGTAAATTCTGGTGGATTTACCCGTTTTCCAAGATGGCTGCTCAGCAAACTGGCCAACAGCTCAGCGAGGTTCTCGGCTGCTGTGGACCGCTGCCGAGTTTGCTGGATTGTTGTTATCCGCTGAGTTATCCGCTGAGGTCAGAAGAGACAAGAGACCCTCCACTGGCCTCCTATAAGGCCTCGATAGACGATCAAATTCCGAACCAATTCCGATCAAAGGATGACTGGTGGTCACCATCTACCATCAAATTTTGACGGGCCGCACTTTTTTGATCAAAGTAAGAACAGACCGGAGTGCCACCATTCATCATTTCCTGCCATAGGAAACATTTCTGTCAAGTTTTCATTTTAAAATGAAGCAAATTAATGAATTTCAGACTGGTGACTCCCGACACTTTGATGCTACTTTGATCGGAATTGGTTCGGGAATTTGATCGTCTATCGAGGCCTATAGCGACATGTGGAAGCTTCTACTTTCGGGGTTTCAACAATTCCTTATGGACAATTATTAGGGAGCAACAGTCATCACGCTAGTGTCGGCTGTTGACTTACCTACATGGTCGATGATGAGCTTCGGATGACGTCATGAGCCAAACAACTTGCCCAAACGTCGGCCATTTTCGGCTTGTTTGTAAAACGAAACTGCCAACATGTTGTTGAACATCAACCATGTAGGTAAGTCGTAGAATGCTGAAGTCCCGAAAGTAAAAGCTTCCACCATGGCCAAAATACTTGTGGAGGGTCTCTTGTCTCTGGCTGAGGTAAGCAAAGGCCGCCATCTTCTCAGCAAAATCGCTCAGCCCTCAGCATGGTTCCATTAGAGTAGGTTCCATAGGTGCGTTGTTAAATTACTTTTACTGCCTAACAAAAATGGCTGAATCTCAGCAGGATTGATGTCAGCGACGACGACGTCAGCTCAACAGACGGGAGAAAATCGAGGTGTCGTTATTAAATTCCCGTCGGATTCTGCGGATTTGGAGGTTAAGTTTTATTGAACTTTAATATTTTTAACATTTAAAAATCTTATCAACACCCACATTATTACGAAATTGACGCAATAAGCAATTGCAAGTCAGTCTAGTGACGAACATGTGGCGAAGAATAGAGTACCTGTATAGGGAGAGTAGCGACAGATCTGAAACTCCGAAAGTCCATCAGGCCTTCACCGATGCCTCCGCGAATAAAGTTAGGGCCCAAAAGGGCAGCCAACCTATGAATTTCGAATGTCCAGAGCGATTTACAAATACAATTGTTACGAACCGTCGTTTAGAAAGCACGTATTTGGTTTACTTTTTGCATAAATTTACTTATTTTTGCGAAAGAACGCTCATTTATATACATTCTTAGCCATCTTGGTTAGAATTGAAATCTGTAGGCTGGCAGTGAAATTTTGTGTGTTAGAAGTTGCTCAGAAGGGTGGCTGCACTTTTGGGCCCTAGGCCCTCCATGAACCGATCT